CCAAGCCTTTCTTCTGAGGCCCACCTGGCTGGGTTCAAACCACTAATCTTTTGGTTAGTACTTGACCACATAACTATTTACACCACCCCAGGATTCCTGCCTGACATATGTTGTTGTCATTGCCATAGAGTCAATCCAACTCAAAGTGACTCTATATGACAGAGTAGAACTGCCTGAAAGGGTTTCCTAGGCTGAAATCTTTATGGGAACATATAGCCAGGTCTTTCTCCCATAGAGCTACTTGTGGGTTCAAACCACCAGCCTTTCAGTTAGCAGCTTAGTGCTTAACCATTGTGCCACCAGGCCTCTTTAGAGCAGACACCAAAGAAATGTGCTGAATAGCTGAACATTCAGGGAATGAGGTAGGCTTCCTCATGAAATGCTAATTCTCACCAATCTCCTGAACTGGGTTCACCTCCTGCAAGTTACAGTGAAGCTGCTCTTCCAGGGTTTGGAGGTGGGCACCTGATGGCTCGTGGGCTGCTCCTAGAGTTCTCTTCTCCTTCACATATTCTTCCTGGTCATGAGCATGGGCTGGGACCTGGTGAAAATACAGGAGAGTTGGGAACCATATATCAGGACATTGTAAGGAGGCCTTCTCAGAGCATAGGAAAAGAAGAACCAAGAAGCTAGCAAAGAAAAAAAAAAAAAAAGGCAGAAAGATTAAGAGCCTACATAAGATGATGTCAGACATAAAGAAATCCTCCTGTCTTCTTGTTGGACCAATACCCCATACTTGCTCCTATAGGTACAAACAACTGTTCTCTCATTTTCCCCACCTGCTCTCCTGGGTCATCCAGCTCTCTCTCTAAATCCTCCAGCACAGTCACTGCTTCCTCTCCATTCATCGGGCGGTGTTCCCGCACCCAGGCCTGGAGCTCCTCGGGCAGGATGGTCAGGAACTGCTCCAGCACCAGCAGCTCCAGGATCTGCTCCTTGGTGTGTATCTCTGGTCTCAGCCACTGATGGCAGAGCTCCTGGAGTCTTCGAAGAGCATCCCGGGGCCCAGGTGTATCCTGATAGCAGAACTGCCTGAAGCGTCTACGAAAGATCTCTCTAGAGTGAGGGTTATTTCTTGGCTGGCTAGATGCTTGCCCACATGTCTGGTTGTCCTCTTGCTTCTTTAACACCACAGTAAGAACTCCCTCTTGCATCTCTAGAGTCTGAAGGGACACGTTTGTGGCCATCTTAGGCCTAACTGTTCAAAAAAGAATCTATTAGTAAGTCCCCCTTGATCTTTTCTTCTTGAAACTGTGAGATCTAAGAAATAATATGCAGAAAAGGAAATGTAAAAATGCAGAAAAGCAAAGGACAGGCAGGCATTTATACAAGACTAGTTACTTTGTATCATGAAAAGAAAACAAACATGAAATGCATGATTAAAAAGAAATACACATACACTCGTTCCCATGAAGCATGAAGTGGATTCTGAATCATAGCATCCCCCATTGAATTTCTGAGGTAGTAAATCTTTATGGAAGTAGATTGCCCAGTCTTCCTTCCACAAAGCAGCTAGTGGGTTTGAACCACCAACCTTCCGGTTAGCAGTCAAATGCCTTAGGTACTACGCCACCAGTGCTCCTTATGCTAAACATAAGGACTAACAAATACTTATGCAAGCAATCCAGGATATCTGATTTAATATGGGGTAGAAAATGAAAAACAAAAAGAAAAAATTAAAATAAAAACAGTTCTATTGATGGATCATCCCAAATAAATATCATCCAAATAAAATAGCTCAGACCAATGTACTAGATTTCCACTTGAATGGCAAGATCCTGCACTGAGAGTAAGCTGTTCGTTGACTAGAGGTAAACAAGTACTTTGGGCCGAGCAATTACAGCTGACACTAAGAATCAAGGAAAAAAGGGAAACAAAAGGGAGGAGGGAGGGAAAGCAAAGATGATAAAAACACAGGAGACTGAAAGAAATGTCCTTGGGGAAGAGAGGCAGAGTGTCTCCAACCAGGTGAAGATGGGAGAGAGAGACCTATGTTTATTTAGACTTATGTAGATGATCTGCAATTGAGACATGATCTTTTAAGTACTCCCTCTTCAGCCTATGAGTCGGGTCTGACTCGACGGCACATAACAACAACAACTTCAGCCTCAAGCTTCATGATTTTAGCTTCATTTCTTCATCTGCAAAATAGGAATTCCAAAACCAACACTGCCTATCTTTCCAGGTTAACATAAGGATCAAATGAGATCGTGAATAAGGAACACAAGCTGGCAACTTGGTAAATTCTAAAGCATTATAAATTACCACTATTGTTATTTTTCTTATAAAAGTTACTGAAAAATTAAATGAATATTCCCAGTGATCTAAACACTAAGGGGAAAGAATCAAAGTGAAGTGGAGTGGTCTCCACTTTTAAAGATATTAAAATGAAATAAATATTAATTTTAATACTTTAAAACAAGGATAAAATTTGCAAGCTCTTTGAAGTTCTTTGAAGGTGGAATGTGGCATTTTATGTAAAATAAAAAGTTACTGCCAATTAATAGGTAAATGTCTGCGATCACTTAAAGCCTCTAAACAAGGATAGTTATCTTTGAGTCAATTAACCCACTGAGACCCCATGTGTGCAGAGAACTGCTCCATAAGGTTTGCAAGGCTGTGACTTTTCAGAAGCATGAAGGCAATTTTCTGAAACAAAACTAACTATGTGAACTAGTAATTTCCAACCACCATTCTTGGGCAGAGGCTTTTAAACTTCTTTTTGACCAGAATATTCAATAAGAAATATTTTATATTGGGACTCAGAACACACATACACATGTGTATAGGAATGTATACATTTGTGAACGTGTGAGGTATATACATGTACAAATAACTGAAACAAAAATTTCACAGAACACTGTTTACACTTACTTTATGTAGCAGACTGTTATGGATTGAATTTTATCCTCAAAAAATATGTGTTGTAAATCCTAACCCCTGTACCTGTGGCTATAATCCCATTTGGGAATAGGTTTCCTTTGTTATGTTAATGACAGTATCGGTTTAGGGTGTGTCGTAATATCTTTTGAGATACAAAAGAGATTAAAGAAACAAGGCAGCAGGCACAGATGGGGGAAGAAAGATGCCATGCCACATGAAGATCACCAAGGAGCCAAGGATCAGCAGCTGAAGGGACAAGGACCTTCCCTCAGAGCCAGAAGAGGTAGCTTTCCCTTAAAGCCAGCACCTTGAATCCAGACTTCTAGCCTCCCAACTGTGAGAAAATAAATTTCTGTTCATTAAAGCCACTCACATGTGGAATTTCTGTTATGGCAGCACTAGATAACTAAGATACATACTACTGATTTTTTAAAATCCTATTTCATTTCTTAAAAACAAAAAAACCCTGTTCACAACATATCACATAGATTTCATGACCCACTAATTGATAATGGCGTGCGGTAAGTGGGTGGGAAGGGAGGGTAAGCCACTAATCAGAGTAGACACGTATTAACTTGGATGAAGGGGGGAAAAAATCACTCAAACATCATTTACAGGGGGAAAAGAAGTTTTTGTTTTAATCTTAAGTAAAATTATTGTAATTTACTGAAAAATGACAACATTCTTAGGTGTTGATATGCATCACCAAATTAAATAACTAAGGATAGAGTATTTCAGTTGCAAAAGAACACTGATCACACCACTAATGAGAAGTTAAATTAATAGTGCCATGATTTGTTATATTTATCAAGGGGAAAAAGTGCTGAGATGAGACAGCATACTTCTGAGTAACCTACCAACATGATGCCCTCCACACATTTTTAACATCTTTGGCATGGTTGAAGTTGGGATCCCTGAGTTCATACTGTCCCCCACTTTTCTTGGTGCTGACACCAGCACTGTGACCACCACATTATCTTTTCTGTCAGAGGTTTTCATACTCCACTCACTCATTCATTCAACAAGTATTTACTCAGAGTATACCTTCCAGGTACTGTTCTAGGCACTGGAGATACAGCTGCAAACAAAACAAAGTGTTTAGTCTCATGGAATTTAAACTAATAACAGTAATAGCTGACATGTATAGCACTTTTATTGTACCAGAAACTTCACTTATATTAACTCATTTAGTCCTCAAAATGATCACAAGTAAGGTACTATTGCTATCCTATATCACAAATGAGAAAACCGAGACAAAATCAACCAAGGTTTCTGAGGCAGAAAGTGGAGAAGCTGGAATTCAAATCAAGCCAGTCTGACGACAGAATCCACAGTCTCTTATTTATTGGGGCAGGGGAAGTGATGAAGTAGGGCAAGGGAAAGGGATCACAGGGAACAGAAAATAATTAAATAGATGTCAAGGGGTGATAAATGCTATGGAGAAAAATTAAGAAAGGTAAAAGGGATGGGGGCTCATCTTCCAGCACTGTATCAGTGCTGTGATACACTGTGTTTTCACTGGTTAATTTTTGGAAGTAGAAGGTCAAGTCTTTCTAGCCTGTCTTAGTCTGGAAGCTCTGCTGGAACCCGTCCATCATGGGTGACCCTGCTAGTATTTAAAATACAAATGGAATAGCTCCCAGCATCACAGCAGCATGCAAGCCACCACAGTATAACAAACTGACAGAGGGTTAGTCAGGGAAAGCCTTTTTGATAAGATGCTATTTGAGCGGAGAACTGAAGTAAGTAAGAAGTAAGTCACATAGCTATGGAGGAAGATCATGCCATGCATAGGAAACAGCAAGGCTCAAATTCTGGGAGGCAGGAGAATGCCTGGATTCCTCAAGAAACATCTAGTTGAACAATGTGGCTGTATCTGAGACAACAAGAAGGAAGTGATAGGAGATGAAGTCAGAAATCGAGAGCTGATTTTGAAAGGCCTAGAATGCCACTGTAAGAGACCTACCTAGCTTGTACTCTAAGCTATGTAGAAATCCATTGGACCTTTTAAGCAGGGTGATAAAATTTTACTTATATTTTAAAAGCATAATTCTGCCTGCTGTGGAAAGAATAGACTTTGGGGAAAAGATGGATACAATTAAGAGGTTATGGCAATAATCCAGGGGAGAGATGATGATGGCTTAAATGATGGTGAGCTCAATTTGTTCTAGAGTGAGCAAGTTTTGAGGTACAAATACCAAATAAGTTAAGAATATATGCTCTCACATTACTCAATTAACCTAGCATGGGTTCAAAGAATTAAATGGCCACTCCTGTGATCTTCTTTTTTCAATCTCTAGGCCCTTGAAAAAGAGTGTTTTTCCCATTTGGTACTGCCCCTGGTTTCAAGTCCAAGGTTTTTCTGTTCATAGACAATGATGCTGATGATCTGAGACCTGCCCATAGGAAATCTCAGTCCAATCATTTTCTGGTATGTGCTATCTCAAATCTTTATTCAGGTTTACTAAGAACAATTTCCCTCTTTGCTCTATATATCCTAAGTTCCCTTTTGCATTCATTCCTCTCATTTTGCTTTTATTTGGTAGCCTGAATACCCAGGTCCTCCACTCTAAACCAAAACCAAACCCACTGCCATTGAGTGGATTTCAAATCATAGCACCCCTACAGGACAGGCCCCATAAGGTTTTCAAGGCTGTAGAGTTTCCAAGACTGCAAATCTTTATGGAAGCAGTCTGCCTCATTTCTCTCCTACAAAGCAGCCGGTGGGTTCAAAACACTGACTTTTTGGTTAGCAGCCCAATGCTTTAACCACAATGCCATCAGAGCTCTACTCTAGACCAGGCCAGTTTAGTTCCTCTTTGAACTTAGTTTCTCTAAAAGCCTCTCTAAGATTTTATAAATGTTCTCTACTGGTCACAAGCACAGAGTTACTAGTTCTCCATTCAGGATCACTTCCCAATTGTAAATCCTGAGTATATAACTAGATAATAGTAACTTCTACTTTAAAAAAAAAAAAATCTGCACATTTTAAAGTTGTTTTTTCCTCAAGCCAAGGTAAACCCAACACCCCCAAATCTACCATCATTCTCATGGAGAGATGCTCTTTACCAAGGATTTGGATGTAAGTGATAACTAAGTACACAATGCAAATATGCTTTTATCGTAATTCAACACCCTTACCACCAAACATTCTCACCTTCAATGACTCCCCACTGCTTATTGGGTGAATTCCACACTCTCCAGCCTGGCTCAACACCAGCTTCCATTATCTGCCCCCACTTTCATTCTCCTCTAGGCCACATGTCAAAGCTCCAGTTATGCTGGAGCTATTCTTTTCTTTTCTTTCTTTCATTTTCATTTTTTTTTTTTTTTTATTATGATCTGGGTGAAAGTTCACAGAGCAAATTCATTGTCCATACAGCAGCTCACATACACTTTGTCTCATGACATTGACTGCAATTTCCCACAATGTAACAGCTACCCTCCCACATCCTCCCCATAGTTATCTCTTCCCTGTGTCCTTCCCTCCCATGTATTCCTGCCCCCTGAGCTGTCTCCCTGTGCATACACAGCCCTTCTATTCCCCCATGATTGATCTCTCCAAGGAGTGTATCTAACTAATGTAAATGTTCAGCTCATATGCCTGTCTTTTGTTTGGCTAGAAGCCACAGGGTGTGTTCAGTTCCAGACCTGAAGGGAAGCTAGGGACCATAGTCTCAGGGGTTCCACCAGGATCTATCAGACCAGAAAACCTGGTTCTTTTTTTATTTTTAATGATTTTGAGTTTTGTTCCACATTGTTCTCCCACTCTATCCAGGATCTCCTACAGAGATCCCCCTCCAAGGGGTTGACAGTGGTAGCCAGGCACCATCTAGTTCTTCTGGTCTCATATAGGCTGAAGATTGCATGGTATACCAGTCCCTTGGACTAATTGTTTCCATGAGTCTTTGGTTTTCTTCATTCTCTTTTGCTCTGGATGAGGAGAGATCCATTGTTTCATCTAGATGGCTGCTTGCAAGCTTTTAAGACCCCAGTTGCTACTCATCAAAGTAAGATGTGGAACAATGTTTTTGTGTAGTATTTTATGCCAATTGAGATTGATGTCCCCTGCGACCACAGTCCCAAGCCTAGAGGTCCAACTACTCCCTCACTCCAGGTAGCTGGCTGTGGCCAAGAAGTGACTACAACCTTGTCCTTTGTCAGCTCTACTTATATACCTGGAAATTCTTACAGAACATACAAATACACTTGTAGAAATATTGTCTGCCAACCCTAATCATGGTCATGGGCACACGGCCCCCTGCATAGACATACCTAATCGTTCAGCCTGTCCACTCATCTGTTGTTGTTGTTGTTGTTATGTGCCGTCGAGTCGGCCCCGACTCATAGCGACCCCTCCTTGGGTTTCCGAGGCAGTATCACTACGGAAGTAGGATTGCCCAACCTTCTATCCACCCTTATATCAATGTTTGCCTTCACTGACAACACAGTACTATACGTATTCTCACTATTCTCTAATCAGGCTTTTCTCATTCCTGCTCTGTGTCCTTGGTCTTAGCCTTCATTTATTCAAACCCTACTCAACCTCTGAAGTTTGATTCAAATCTCACATTCTCTCTCAATTCTTCCTCATCTACTCCAGCCCATCCACTTCCTCCTCCCAGCTTATATCCTCTACTGTCTGACCTGTTACTCTTAGTCACTATCAATCTTTCACTTTTACTTCACAATTAAAAAAAAAAAATCCAAGCAATACACAGGAATATAGAATTCCTGCACCAACTCCTATACCAGAAATGCCAAAAAATCAAACCCACTAACATCGTGTTGATTCCAACTCATAGTGACCCTACAGGACAGAGTAGAAAGGGATCTCAAAAGGTTTCCAGGACTGTAAATCTTTACAGAAGCAGACTGCTCCATCTTTCTCCCAAGGAATAGCTGATGGATTGGAACTGCTAGCTTTTCAGTTAGCAGCTGAGCACTTTAACCATTACCACCAGGGCATTTAATATGAGACATAGCCAATGTAAGAGATTAGAATCTGTACTTTCAGACATTTTCTAGGCATATACAGTCATTCATACACACACATAGCTGATACAGGCCCAAATCTTCCCTATGCATTTAAGTAGGAGATAGTATGAGGTAACAGGGAACACAGACAGATCTGGCTGTAAATTCTAACAATGTCATCTTGGTCAAGTTACTTGATTGATTTTTCTGAGCCTCAGTCTCCTCATGTATGAAATGTGGATGACAACTACCTTGCCAAGTTGAACAATAAAGGAGCGATTCATATAAAGTGGTTTTGCACAAAGCCTGGCACATAATGAACATGCAAATTAACTACTTTTTAATGCGATAATATACAATTTTTGGTAGAATTATGGCTTAATCAGTAGTTGCTATCTTCCCTTGGGGGTAATAGTGAAATTTTTTCTATGGCCCAAAACAAAACATAGGTGGGAAAACACACACACCGGCAGAAATAAAAATGGCCATTTCACCAGGTTTGCAGACACACTCTGACAGACATATCTTCAGATATATACTCCTCTAAAATCTAAAATGATAACTAGAAGCCTAGAATACTGAGATCCAAAGAGGCATAGGACCTGATTCACGAGTGAAATAACTTTCCAGGTTATTCTGTATTAGACTATAAAGCTAACACAGAAGCAGAGAGAGGAGTCAGCATAGCAAAGGGTTTCAGGAAATGGACTCTGGAGCCTGAATGCCTGGATTTCAATCCTGACTACACCCCTTGCAAGCTCTATGACCCTGGGTAAATTACTTAATCTCATGTTATTCTTCAGTGTAAAAAAGGCGGGAAGGGGAGTGACAGGTAGTAACAGTGACTATCTCATAGAGTTATCACCTCAATAAGTTAATATTTAGGAAATGCTTAGAACAGTGCGTGGCTAGCACCAAAAAAAAAAAAAAAAAAACAACTCACTGCCGTGGAGTCCTGCTGGCTAGCACACAGTGCTATGCAAATATTACTCTTAAAATTCAACATAGACTTCGAAAAGCCTTTATGCTGTATGTACCAGATTGAAAGGTCGTGGCACATTATATGACTCTCTCTGCTCATCGTTTAAAATAAGGCCACAGTTGAAAATGACAGATGTTGGAAAATACAAATATTCCTTGATATCCAAATTTATTCGGATCCTAAAATGAAGATGGGGAGAGTTCACAGGGGCATTGGTACTGGGGCAGACTAGTTGATGGACTCAGGGATAGACGAAAGGGGATGGAGGGGAATGTAAAGAGTCTGTTTTTTATGAAATAAGGCCATTTCAGGCTCCGGGCAGGCTCCTCTCCGTCTCATCGTTCCTGCCAAACTCTGGCCAAGAAGCCCCCGCCGCCCTCTCCCCACACTCAGTCCAGGGTTGCAGCACACACACCACCCTTCCGAAAGCCTTCGGCGACAGGTCCCGGCCCTTCAGAAGCCTGGGCTCCGAAGCTCACCGAGGCATCCGTGAAATGACAGGCCAGCTGGCCCTGACCGCGCCACCTCTGAATCCTTGACAACCGCAACCTAGGGAATGCTATACAAAGGCCGGAAGTGCGTCACAGCGCCCAGCTCTCCAGCCGAACAGTAGTTCTAGCTGCGTTCCTTCTAGGAACCCTGGAGGTTTACACACCTCTGTGGTCGCCTAGCCCTATTCCCTCCTTAAAAACAACAAAACAAAACAAAGAAACTATTGAGTCAATTCTAACTCATAGTGACCCAGTAGGACAGAGTAGAACTGCCCCACAGGCTATTTAAGGAACCACATTCCCATTTCTGTTTCTCTCAGGGCTGGTGGGTTTCTCTACCAACCTCTGGCCTTTTAGTTAGCCAACCAGTGCTTAACCACTGCACGGCCAGAGTTCCTATTCCTTCTCTAGGTGTAGTGAAAGGACATAGAGTTCTACACTTTGTTGCACTGTTAGGTGCCCCCCAGTTGGTTCTGACTCATTCCGAGCTTATGTACACAGGAAATATTGCCCTGTCCTGCATAATCTCCACAGTAGTGGGTTTGTTTGAGCCTATTGTTGCAGCCACTGTGTCAATCCATTTCCTTGAAAGTCTTCCTCTTTTTCAGTAACCTACACATATTAACTCACTTATTCTGCATAATAACCCTCTGAGTTGGGTACCATTATCCCATTTTCCAGCTGAGGAAAATGAGGCACATTCCTTCTACATTTATTCAGCATTTCCTGCAAAGAAATGCCCCTCTTCAATTAATTTTTCATTACAATAAATTGAAGGATTGTTTTTAAATTCAGTGTTATACTCAGTTACTGTCATTATTATTTTGATACTCAAAATATTCCAAATTCAGTCAGCGGGAACTCTTTGAGCTGGTTTCGGTGTTCTTTAGCAAGTCCCCGTCAGTTTTTGTTCACTTTCTTAATTTCTCCCACAAGATATTTCAGATTCATTTTGTGCGTTCCCTGGCCTAGATTAGGAATCAGCTGTTGCTCCATGCAGTCATGGTTCCTTTTAGTAGGGAATAGTATATAGAAACCAAGATCTTGATTTGGATAGTAGATAAGCTCATGGCTACTGGGATATGCTTCGAGGCTCCGTGAGTGAACAAGAGCTGGGAAATATATGTGTATTCACGTGTGCATGTGTATGTGCACATGTTTATGTGTACCTTATTGGACAGAACCCAAGGGTTTCTTTATAGAAGCTGACTGCCACATCTTTCTCCCATGGACCGGCTGGTGGGTTGGAACCTCCTTTCATTTAGCAGCCAAGTGCCAGTGGTGTCACGAAAGGGATGCTTGGGGTGGGGGGAGGGTGTAGTGGTGAAGACAACACCAGGTGACACTGTCAGAGAAGGTGACATCAAAATGACTGTCTATAAAATTTTTGTGCGGTGTTTCAGCAGAAATTTATTATTTCTTTAAATAAAAAATCCCTGTTGTTAGTTATAACAGAAACATTTTTTCATAAGCCCAGCTTATATGTATTAATATGCCTATACAAGGTCAAAACTCTATGCTAATTTAGTTTCTGAACCTCCTAAGGTGCTCTGGTAAAAGCTGTCATTATTACCCAATGACAATGATGCTCTGAATCAGTTGGTATTGTCTGTGTGCATTACAACAAAATGCTGTTGTTTTGTGTGTGTGTGTGTGTGTGTGTGATTTGTGTGGAAGCTTACAGAGCAAATTCACTTTCCATTCAGCAGTTCACATACAGTTTGTCTCATGACATTGACTACAAAAATTGTTGTGTTTAGATGGCTGCTTGCAAGCTTTTAAGATCCCAGTCGCCACTTGACAAAGTAGGAGGTGGAACTATGTTTTGTGTAGTGTGTTATCCCAATTGAACTTGATGTCCCCTGCAACTATGGTCCCAAGCCCACAGGTTCAACTACTCACTCCTTCTGGGTAGCTGGCTGTGACCAAGAAGTGACTACAACCTTTCCCTTGTCAGCTCTACTGTACACCTGGGAATTCTTACAGAACATACAAATACACTTGTAGAACCATTGTCCACCAACCCTAACATTTGTTGTACCATTTGACAGTCCCAACAGCAGTGTATGAGAGTCCCAATCTCTCCACATCCTCGCCAGCATTTGTTATTTTCTGTCTTGTTGAACTTTGCTACTAGGGCTTGGTATCTCATTGTTGTTTTGATTTGCATCTCTCTAATGGCTAATGATCATGAGTATTTCTTCATATGTTTGTTGGCCACCTGAGTATCCTCCTTGGTGAAGGGTCTGTTCATGTCTTTTCCCCATTTTTTAATTGGATTATTTGTCTTTTTGTTATTGAGGTGTTGGAGTTTTCTATAAATTCTAGAATTAAGATCCTTGTCAGATATGTCATTGCCAAATATTTTTTCCCAATCTATAGGTTCTCTTTTGATTCTTTTGGAGAAATCTTTGGAAGCACATAAAAATTTAATTTTGAGAAGGTCCCATTCATCTAGTTTCTCTTCTGCTGTTTGTGCATTTTGGGTTATGCTTGATAGTCTTTTTATGCCATATATTGTTGTTGTTCTTAGGTGCCATCGAGTCATTTCCGACTCATAGTGACCCCACGCACAGCAGAACGAAACACTGCCTGATCCCACGCCAGCTCCATGATCCTTTCTATACTTGAGCCCATTGTCGCAGCCACAGTGTCAATCCATCTCGTTGAAGGCCTCCCCCTCTTTCGTCGACCCTCCACCTTACCAAGCATGGCATCCTTCTCCAGGGAATGGTCCCTTCTGACAACACGACCAAAGTAGGTGAGACGAAGTTTGGCCATTCTCACTTCCAAGGAGCATCTCGGCTGAACTTCCTCCAGGACAGATCTGTTACTTCTTTCAGCAGTCCATGGTACTTTCAGCATTCTTTGCCAGCACCACAACACAAAAGCATCAAATCTTCTTCAGTCTTCCTTATTCATTGTTCAGCTCTCACATGCATACTAGGTGATTGAAAATATCATGGCTTGTGTCAGGCACACCTTAGTCCTCAAGAAGACATCCTTGCTCCTCAGCACTTGAAAGAGTTCCTTTGCAGCAGACCTGCTCAATGCTACATGCCATCTAATGTCCTGACTGCTGTTTCCATTGACATCGATTGTAGAACCAAGCAATGTGAATTCTTTGACAACCTCAATCTTTTCTCCATTTATCGTGATGCTGCTTATTGGTCCACTTGTGAGGATTTTTGTTTTCTTTTTATTGAGACATAATCCACACTGCAGACTATATTCTTCAACCTTCATAAGTGCCTCAAGTCATCCTCACTTTCAGCAAGCAAAGTTTGTCAGCGTATCTCAGGTTGTTAATGATTCTTCTTCCAATCCTGATGCCACAAATGCCCTAAATTGGCCCCTAGTTTTTCCTTGAGGAACTTTATAGTTTTAGGTTTCACATTTAAGTCTTTGATCCATCTGGAGTTCATTTTTGTGTCTGGTGTGAGGTACAGATATTGTGTCATTTTTCTGCAAATGGATATCCAGTTTTGGAAGCACCATTTATTAAACAAACATTCTCTTCACGATTTAATGGATTTAGGCGCTTTGTCAAAGATCAGCTGATCATAGGTTGATGGATCTATTTCTGGGTTCTCAATTCTATTCCAATGATCTATGTGTCTGTCATTATACCAATTTCAGACAGTTTTGACTATTGTGGCTGTATAGTATGTTTTGAGATCCAGCAGTGTGAGACCTCCTACTTTATTCTTCTTCTTCAATAGTGCTTTGCTTATTTGAGGTCACTTTCCTTTCCATATAAAGTTAGTGACTGGTTTTTTCCATATCCTTAAAAAATGTTGATGTGATCTGGATTGGGATTGCATTGAATGTATAGATTGCTTTGGGTAGAATTGACATTTTCACAATGTTCAATCTTCCTATCTACGAGCATGGTATGTTCTTCCATTTATGTAGATCTCTTATGGTTTCTTGAAGTAGTTTTTTATAGTTTTCTTTGTACAGGTTGTGAGAGTTGGAGCTGTGTGTCAACTTGTCTGGACCACAATTCTGTGTGGTTTAAGCAGTTGTGATGTGGTTATTCCCATGATGGGATCAGATGAATATGTTTTGAGCAGCCAATCCATTGAAGGGGAGTTTCGCTAGGGGTGTGGCCTGTTTCCAGTGTATTTATGGACATCCTAGGAAAAGAGACACTCTTCTGTGGATCAAAATTTGGTTGTGCTGCCTATAACTGTCCGTGAATGAACAATTCACCATTTGGCCTGGAGATCTTGGATTCGTCATTCATTGGAGTCAACAGCCAGTGTACTGCCTGCCAACCTTGAGCTCCTCAGCCCCTGCAGCTGCGAGAGTCAGGAAAAACCTCCAGCTTGATGTTTGATCCAAGAACTTTGGATTTTCCAGCTTCTATAAGTGTGTGAGCCATTTTCATAAGATAAATTTCAATTTCTCTCTATATATAAGTTTTACTGGTTTTGTTTCTCTAGAGAACCCAGTCTAACACATAGGTCTTTTGTGTCCCTGGTAAGATTTATCCCCAAGTATTTTATTTTTTTGCTAGCTATTGTAAATGGTATTGATTTCCTTATTTCTTTTTCAGCAATCTCTTTGCTAATGTGAGGAATCCAACTGATTTTTGGATGTTGACCTTGCACCCTGCCATGGTGCTAAATCTCTCAATTAGTTCCAGTAGATTTTTGGCAGTCTCTTGGGTTTTCTGGGTGTAGGATCATAACATCTGCAAATAGAGATCGTTTGACTTCTTCCTTACCAATTTGGATGCCTTTGATTTCCCTTTCTTGCCTTGTGGCCCTGACTAGGACTTCTAGTACGCTGTTGAATAGAAGTGGTGATAGAGGACATCCTTGTCTGGTTCCTGTTTGCAAGAGGAATGATTTCAGTCTCTTTCAATTGAGAATAACGTTGGCTGTTGGTTTTGCATATATGCCCTTTATTATGTTGTGTAATGTCCCTTCTATTCCTATTTTGCTGAGAATTTTGATCAGGAATAAGTGTTGGATTTTATCAAATGCCTTTTCTGCATCTATTGATATGATCCTTTGTTTTATTTATGTGGTATTTGACTGTATTAGACTGGGTTCTCTAGAGAAATAAAACTAGCAAACTT